ATTTGAGTAAACCCCCCCCCCCCCCCACTCTACCTAAAAAACATATGATTCAAAGGCTGAAAAGAATACATTTTAAAGTCAAAGTTAATATCCTTTAAAACTTAAGAGTTGAAAACCATGAATTATATTGTTTTAGTTTTTGGTACATCATTTTATTGGTTCGAGTGTCAATGCTCTGTAGTGGAATGCTGGGTGTTTAGTAATGAGACTTTTTTTACAGTACAGTTACTTTATACCAGTATTCTTATAACACTACATTTTTTCTTCAAAGGAAATATGGGTCAATAGTGTTTGACGGAGAGTCTGCAAAAATCTGTCATGGTTTAATAAAACTTTGTAGTTCATGTATTAAAAAATAAAAATAATGTTTTATAGATATATTTTGTTTATTTTTTTTATAGAGATGTGGATGATGTGCATGACTTGATGGATGACATTTCCGAATCAATGGATGTGAGTAATGAGATAAGTGAAGCTATCTCAACTCAACCTGCATTTGATACAGTCGATGAGGTTTGTCACTACCGTATTTAATTCTATTGTCATAAAATATATTATTATTATTCTTATCTTTATCATAGCATAGATGGTGATTGCATGTTAATCCTCCACCTCTGGGAGTCAACCGTAGTTAACAGTACCGTCGTCCACTAAATAATGCACGATACTATTGTTTATCAAGAATGTAAACAGGTTCCTATTAAGTCCTATTCTATGATCATGCCCTGTCCACACAAATTTTATTTTACCAAAACATGGAAATGCCTAATATGCTCATTATGACATCAAATCACATGTTGAAATATACCAAAATAAGTTTACAGTATGTGCAAACAATAGTCTTTATTTGGGTATTATGTTGTCAAATTTATTCTATTTATAAATACATTTTTGCAGGTTTTTTGGTTGTGGTGGATGACAAATAGATGTTTGTACTTGTAAATGCATTATTATACACGTCTGCTATCCTACCGCTGTCGCTATTAGTACTATAATAACTGGTAAAACAATTTCTGAAGTAAATAAATCAACTAATAGCCTATTCTCTCCCAAAGAGAATGCCCCTTGAAATAATAGTGGAATAACCAGCCCCTGGTACCAAGCACAAGCCATCCAACCATGCACCATCTTTATTCTTTTTTGAAAGATTCTAAACCAGTGTATATTTACATTTTAATTGTTTAATATTAAGGTAATTCAAATAGAACATTAAAAGAACTTGAGACAATATGAGAATATTTAAAATAAAGGTTGTTTGTTGTTGAATATAAAAGTGTTCCTTTTTACTTGTTTTTCAATTTAGGATGAATTATTAGCTGAATTAGAAGAACTTGAACAGGAGGAGTTGGATGAGAAGTTGTTAGATGTTGGACCATCAGTGTCAGATAGGTTACCAGACGTTCCATCAGAAGCACCAGCACATAGGGGTAAGTATTGCATACACTACAGTAGATAGTTGGCTTTCCCCTCTCCTTTTTCCCTGTTGATTGTTTTTGTTGACTAGACAGAAAAGTTGTTAAGAACACTGTTGAAATATAGATAATTTTCGGCTGCTAGGTAGTCACAGACCACATCCATACTCAATTTAGTACAATGACGCTGCAAGTTATGGGTTATTCTCCTACGTTTACCTTTAAATACCTTTTTAACATTTATTTAGCACATATTGCAATAAAGTGCCTCAGTGCTTTACATATATTCCCCCCCCCCCCCCCCCCCACCAAAAAAAATTATCAAAAACTTGTGGAACCCATCCTTAGCTCTCTGTAGAACACAATTCCATAAGTGGCTGGAATCAGCACTTGGTATGGAAGGAGGCATGCATAGATAAAGTGCCTTGTCTAAGGGCACAAGCAACTTGCACAGCAAGGCCCCAACCTCACTGGAGTCCCAGCCACAACCACTGCATGCATCCTCTTCCACAATGCATTGAAAAATATGAGCTTAGATTTTCTTGCTTTTTTTAAAATACAATTCTTGTTTTCTTATATTACAGAAAAAGCAAAGAAAGTAGATGATGATGATGATATGGCAGAGTTGGCAGCATGGGCATCCTAAAGATTTACTACTGTACATCCTAGTTTAGTATATTAGTAAGCCCACACATCCTAATTTCCATTTTTTTTATTTGATTCTTGTTGATATTCTGTGCCATGTTGTATATTAATGTAGCCTGGAAGCATTAATTAAAACCAGGTATATTTTCTAAGAATAAATTAAAAAAAAAAATACATTTAAAGTGTAGGGGTTTTTTTTTTATATATATATATATATTTGATTTGTAAATACAAACTAGTTTCAAACAGCTTATTGCGTGCAGAGCATCATAGCTAGTTTAGGACAGAATGAAATATTAATTTGTTAAGATCTACTCAATCTACTAAAAAAGTTAAGAATTTAGACATGTGAAGATATGAGGTGGTGTTACTATTGAAGGGATTTGAATTTGCTCAATTATGAGTAAGAGTAGTTCAGTAGAGTCAGTAAAAGGAGATAACTTGTGAAACTCTATTCTTTGAACCTGATCATAATTTATTGTTATAATAGTAATTAGGATTTTAAATTTTTATTCCAAATCAATGATCAAAGGCATGATTACGTTGTCAATCCTGGTCATAGGATAGTGTACAAATACAACATTGTTTGATGGTTTGGTTTGCTATATAAGAATAAACTATTATTATTATTATTATTATTATTATTATTATCATCATTATTATGTGAAGTAGTGAATTCGACTTCCCAAGTTGTGAGGTGACTGCTCCAATCATCCAACGAGGGAAATAAAAATCACTGTATTTTACCAAAATATAACCATATTGTATAACGTTATACTATACTTTGCATAAACATCAAAGCGTTGGTCCACATTAGCCATTTTGATGTGTGAGAGTAAAATTACACAATTTTGCATACGGTTCAGGCAGGCTGTTGGCAGGAGCCGGGGAAATTTTGCACATGCAGGGAAGTAGTAGTAACTACCGCATCACTTACCATGTGAAATTGACCTACAGTATGAAATTAATATTAATGATTGATAGTAATATACAACTCTGCGCTCAAATCTAGTACATTCAATGCCTTAAAATCTACCCATTTGAACTCTTGCAGAGAAGAACATTGCCTAAGGACAAACTTTCACAGAGACGGTTCAAGGTTGAGAGTCCGAGGCTCAACTATTGGGCCAATTAAACGTTGAGCGATACTGAAAACAATAAAAGGTAATTTTGGACAAGAAAGAGACGTTGAATATTGAATTTTGGTTTTGTTAGGTTTATAGTAAATTCAGGTCTATTTCAGGATACTAGGAAGTGCTAACCATATTACCACATGTTTTTTATGCTGATAACACACATTTTATTTAAATGTGTTTGAAATACAAGAAATCATCCAATGTTTGGAACTTTGAACTGAGAATAGACAAAGAAGAAATTGAATTTGAACTGTATATAGTTACTGTAGGCTTAGACAAGTTTGGGCTTTTTTGTTAATTGGTAGTACAGTATGGTTAAATTACTGTATGATTGGTGGTATTTTAGTGTTTTTCGATATAGGTATCTGTGTTTATACCATACCTTCTAAAAATACAAAACCTACTCAAAAATTTATATCCTCGCTATTTTAATAGCCAATTTGTCCTTAACAATTTCTTTAAAAATTGCAAAACTGTATTTCCTCCGTTCTAATAAATATATCTACAGTCATGCACATTGCATAAAGAAATACCATAGTCAATTCAGATATAATACCTACATTTTGGGCATAAAACCCAAAATCTGTCCAAATTCATAAGTTAAATAGATCTTTGCACTAAGCCCTACCCCTTGGATATTGTTGCTAAGGTCCCACAAAACAGTATTGTAAATGTAGAGGGTTCTGATTGGTCAGATGTTTGGTTAGTACTCCGGAAAGGTCCATTATCTTTTAGTTAGCGTACTGTTACAGATCTAATGTTGACTGTATGATGTGACAAATGTAATTTTATCAACTTTACTATACAGTACTTTTTTCTTAAATGCAAAAAATAAAGCTGAGAATATATGTAATGTTTCACATTCTTTTTCTTTTTTTCTCATTTAATTACCTTACACCTTTTAACTTGATGCTTCGAGACTTAGAGACCTATGCTCATTTGTCCCTCTTGATACATCCGAGAATCTTCTTCAGATACATACGGTCTGTACTTCAATCGGTGGCCAGACCAGTTTCCTTTTTCGAAGCCCGACTTAAAGGCATTTTACTGTCTTTGCAGAGACAACATAATTTGGAAGCGCATTCCAATCACTTACTACTCTGAGTAGGAATTCTTTCTAACATTAGTATTTGCTTTGCTTTTGTAAAGTTTATAATCATGTCCTCTAGTTTTACTCTGAGGTGGGCTCAGACATATTCAATGTTTACCGGAAAATCGTGCTAGAATATAAAAAATACAATGAATATAAATACAATGGCTCTTCAGTATATTGTATGAACTTATGTATTAAGGTTGGTGTTTAAATTATTAACACAATTAAATTAAAATAATAAGTAAATTTTTAGCACAACATTTAGCCAACTCATAATTATTTAAACAAGGTTTAGGTACAAAATCACTATGAATATTGAACAAATTTAATTTGAATATTCTATCGCGGACGTTAGCATTTGGGCGAGAGATCACCAGCGTTGGAAACTGTTGACCGCCGAAAAGCGTGTACCGCACTTAAGATATTTAATTTCAGTTATAAAATTCTTGAACATGTTTATTGTATTTTAACAAAATCTGTATCTGCCATTTACAATGCAGATTGACTTTTCAGACATTCTTGGGTTATCCTTAGTGTATGTAGTTCATTTCGAATATATCCAATGAACAAAATTATGTGAATGCCTACAAGCTGTAGTTGATTGAATGAATGTAACACAAAAGGTACTTTTTTAATGTCTAAGAAATTAGACATTTCAGTTTTTGAATAAAGTTATATATAAATATCATCTTATTATATTTGGTTTTCATTATTGTTTATGATTTGAGGTGAAGCTTAATATTTACTTACAGATTAAAGTAGTGTGCATACTAGTTTCAACATTTATTTTGTAGTTTGGAAGATAAAATGTTGGACATTAGGCCTATATTAATAAAATTTTATTTTATACAATATAAGCTGAAATACAGTATTACAAATTAAATTTTTTTTTTAATGTTTTTTTTTTTTTTAGTTGAATGAATGTTAGAGTTTTTGTGCATATAAATGACATACAGTTGCATTAGAAAATTAAAAATGTAGACCTTGTTTATATTTCTTTTTATCTTTTTAGAATTTATTTGCCTCAAAACAAACCCTCGCCCTGTTGCGCCATATATATGTATATAGTCGATTCACTGGTTATAAAAATATTACTATCAACGGCGGCAGAAGCCGGTGAGGGGGAGGGGGGTGGGCATTGGCCTACCCACTTTTTCTTCTGAGGTATTGATGCCCGCCCCCCACTATTGTGACTGTTCCCAGCACCAGTGAGTACCATTTTACGAACGCTGCAATGTCATTATTATTATTATTGTAAGAATTTAATTTTCAACATCATTTGATTTGATCTCTCAACTTGAGAGAAAAGAAAAGAAAAAAAAAATAAAGAATACAGTCCATTTAAGTCTTTCACCACTTAGGCCTATACGCACTCTTAATGAAGCGACGCTATGTATAGTAAGTGTTACTGATGGGCTTACAGTAAACTTTCAAACTAGCGTAACATAACCACATTTAAACTCCACCTAATATAACGAAAATAAGATAATTAGGCCATTTTTAAAAATAAAGTTCTCTGAAGGTGAACTACAGAATTTACACTTCACTGTAGTTACTATGTGTTAAAGTTGTAAAAACTGTATTGAGTAAAAAAATCTTTCGAATAAAAAAAAAATTCTTCGCTACATTATGAATTGATCATTTGTGAAACAAAATGATAGGCTATGTCAAGTGTTACATTGAACAGTGGAAGATTCAAGGGGGGAACCCAGTCACCACGGGTCCTAATTTCCAAATTTTACCTCAGCCCCACCCATGGTGGGCATATAGCTTATTTATAAACTTAATTTGTATAATACATACTGTATAATATGAATATAAATTTATGTATTAAATATAATAAATTCAATGGTGATGTACTGTATAGGCAAATTAATATGCAACAACACTGTCAATTACATAATAATCAGTGGATACCCTGTTTTCAGCATTATATTATATATAGCATTCCAATATTTGTCTTGTGCATAAAATGGACACCCCCATACTTAGCTAGTTCATATTTACTAGTTAACTATGTACCACAATTTTAAAAATTTATTTATTTAATATATAATAATAGAGGAGCCACTTTTATTCTAAGCTATGTCACCAGTTTTCAGCATTATAACTGCTATTTAAAGCCAGTTAATACATTTTTCATTTATAACAAAATCTAATTGTGCATTCATAATATAGACACGCCCATATATTTTCGGATCCATATTGGATTGGATTTATTGGGTGTAAACACCGAGGATAGCCCATAGCCCACAAAAGAAGACTTTTTCCAGTGGAGTCCATCCGGTGGTGATTGGGCAGTACACCGGGAGACAATCTCCTACTCTTTTCCGAAGAGTGTACTGCGTTCATTTACGTGCATAAACGTGTGCGCTGTTGTAACTTGTATTTCAGCCCTCCAGCTGAAACAATGGAGAGGCAGCGATGGGTATTAAACCGGGGACCAGATCTCCGCGGTTTAACGCACACACAGTGGCTACCACCAGATTAGCTGACTAAGCTAAGCTGCTCTCATAACTCTGTAATGAGTCAAGCTAACAATGTTATCTATCTATCTATCTAAATGTATTTTATTATGCTTTACTTTATCTAACTTTTATCCATGTTAACTTAGTTTTAATGGGATGAATAAGATATTATCGAGAGTTTTAATATATATTTTGTATGAATTCGATTTGATCTTTGGTAGATGAAATTTTGACCTCCTGTGGCAATTAACCATGCATTACATTTTTCTTTATAACAAATGATAGAAGTTGTACCAAAGTGATAGAAGTTTATTACTAATAACAACAAACTATATTCAGTTGATAAAAAGTTGTGGGCATTAATGTTACCCCCACACCATATCAATTTTAATGCATTAAATTGACGCGCCTATACTCCGTTAGTTTATATTTACTAGTTAATAATTAAGTATCACAATTGTGAAAATATAGATATTTCATAACTTAAAATAATAGACCAGTCACTTTTAAGCTACAATAACAGTTTTCAGCATTATAACTGAATCTAGATCTAGTTAAGAGCTTTTTCATTCATATCAAATCTCTTATTGAGAGTTTTGATTTATATATCGTTTGGGTGAAATTCAATGTTGATCTTTGGTCGATGACCTTTTGACCTCCTGTGACATAACTAACGATGTCATTACATTTTTCTTTATACCAAATGATAGGAAATGTATTATTCTACAGTTCGGTACTAAAAACAAGAAAATACAATTAGTTGATTAAAAGTTGTCGGCATAAATGTTACCCCACCCCATATCAATCCTAATACTGAACTAAAAAAGGTACCCAGGGACGTAGCCAGGATTTTGAAATCACGTTTTTGAAGTAGCCCTATGTAAAGTACATACTCAAAGACAATGTTTTTAAGCTTCTTTTTTTTGTTTTTTTTTCCTATGGTATATCACACACACATTAATAAGAATAAGATCTCTATGGTTGTCAAAAATCCCTGATAAAAGATCATGTTTGTTTAATAATACTACTACTAATAGTAATAACAATGATGATAATGACGATAGTAATAATTAATAATAATATTAATAGCAATACAAAGTGAAGAAAATTGTGCTAAATGCGAAAAAAAAAGTTGTGATTTGTTGATCATACTATAGTATATATACTTAAAGCTTAGTAAGCTATAATCAGGCCTAAGTTGATTGTTTTTGATTGTTCTTGTGGTTCTCTCGATGCAAATAAGATATGAATAGTGACATCCTATTTGTAAGAAGACGAAATATTCGAAGAGATACTTTAACATAACTGTAAACCGTTTTGTGGTAATGCTATTATTATATGTATACATTTTCAGGGCCGTATGCTGGGTTGGTGGGGGGGGGGGGGGGGGAAGCTGCCGCACACCCCTAGAGGGCAAACAAGTTTCGCTGGTTTAGGCCAATTCCTAGGATGCCTAATACAATGAAAAATGTGCAGGGCAGCAAGTAGAACTTGATCAGTACACATATAAACCTATGATACCAGTCGTAAAACAAACACTACAGTAATTGGAAATAAATACAACGTAGGCATATTCTTTTCCTTTGTTATTGTTTACGTGCCGGTACACTGGCGCTAATGTTTCTTTCCACTGTCTCTCAATATAATTATTTATTTCCCATCAGTCGCCCTCTCCCCATGTCAATTAACACTCAATGCCACCAGATATAGTTAAATACTCAGGAAAAGCTATGAAACACTTTTTAACACTGTCAGACTAGGTAACATTCCTATTCAACGCTTGGGTCATTATTCCTACTAATTCTAACTTTTTCCTGTATACCTAAAATCATGAGATTGAGTAACGCATTTTTACTCATGTGAATGTCGTCTCCATTTATTTTAGCAAATGATTTGGCAACAATAACTGAAAATCGACCAGAAAAATAATTTATTTTTGAGCAATGTAGCGGGCCGGATCTATTTTTTGGCGGGCCGACGTTGGCCGTCACACAAAATAAGATTTTGTTTTCATTACACGCAAGGGCAGTCCATTATTCTACCAAGTACTTTACTGCGCGTGCATATGACTATGAGCAAACTTCATAATTCGTACTATTGGGCGGTCTGCATTGAAACTTTTAATGTGCCTGTGGATTGCGACATTAAAACAGACTCTGGTATCTACACGGGAGAAAAATGTGCAATAAACACTAGAAACGTTATCACGCTATTATTATTGTTGTTGTTGTTTGTTGTTGATTGATAGTTTTACATGTTATCATGATTTTTAAAATACATCAAATGACGCCGACATTAAAACTTGCATTTATTTGCATAGTTAATTACCTTTTTTGCTTTCACCTGCTTAAATAATTTAATTATGTCACGGTTAGAGTTTTTAAACTATTGTATGTACTTGCATACGTACTTTTTTGAATGTCTTCATGCCTGCATACTTAACTCTCTACATTTGCATAACAATGCCTCTTGATGCACTTGTATTTTTTAATTACCTTTGTGATGTTCAATGATATCTTATCTTGATTCTGCATGCATTTGTATTTACAAATACCTTTGTAAATGTAATGCCCACTGGTGTACACGTATTAGATTTGTAGGTACTTAATTGGATCGTTACAACTATCATTTACTTATGTTCAACTGTTTTTCAATAAACCTCTATGTTGCATCTCTTAGATAATACAATTGTATTCTATATTATATGTAAAGAAAATTAAGTTTTTAATCCACTTGCAATTGCATTTCTTTTACCTTTATTGCCATCTTAAATTTTTGATGTCTTATTGTACAATTCCCCAATTGTGTGCTATAGTGATTTAAAGAACATTTTTGCTGCGAAGCAGCCAATTCATATTCTTGACAGCAATTTGACCTCTAAAAGGTCATTGTTTGTCAAAAAACAATGGCCTAAGACGACTGAAAAGCGGAGTTTCCTTCTGCCGGGTAAAATCAATTACTTTAGGCGACGTTTGTAGACTAACCAACACGTACCAACGTCCGCGTGTCGCGCTAGCCTTATCCTACTCTAGGCCTAGACTAGCTACGATGGTATAGGCCTAGCCAAGGGACGAAGGTCCCAATGAAAAACAACGTCGCTCCTTGATAGCTAACATTGTCTATTTAACATCACAATCATTCATTATTAGACCTATAGTTGTTTTTTGAATTGTACTCCATAAATCTCAGCCGATACCTCGCACAACTCGAGTAACGTCTCGCATCTAT